GTGGGGATAAATACTTGTACCATGAAGGCTTACTGTTTCGACTGACATTATTATATTTTTTGCGGTAGTTTTCGTCTCATGGATGTAATAATCTGAAGCCATTAGTTTAGTATTAGATCCGTGAAGGAAAACGTTTGGATTAGCCATGACAATGAAAAAACCAAAAACAAGTTTATTTTTTGGTGACGACGTTTAGTAGCTATTGTGTTCCATTCTCCTCGGTTATTTTATCAAATTCACCCAACTGGACAAGCTTACATTTTTTACGGTGGCTGACACAGTTTAGGCGTGTACCGATTTTTTGTTTGAGAACGCCAGTTGAGAGAACATGAGTTATAATTTCCAGCAACAACGTTGTCACTGACATTCTAAACACTCGTTCTCGGGAACAATGGATGCTGAAACTCATATGCGATCAGTCTCATTGGCCAACGGTAATTCACATCTATTGATGCGTTTGAAATATCTCCATTGGAAAACACCAGCGATGTGAAGAATTCTTAACGATTTTTCATTCTCCAGCGTTCACATTAATATACGATAACAAGGTAGCAACAAAAGTCATGGTTCATAAAATAAAGTGGGATGGGCGGACGGGTTGCAAAGTTGTTATCATTTGATTAAACTGATTACGCATTACAACCATTGTGTTGTATTGTATTGTGTATGACTTTTGCAAGTATTGAAGCTTACATTTCAGTTAAAAAACTACACGCCAACCGTCACGAAGGACATATTCAACGGGAAGAAAATGTTTACAGACAGCACAGGGAAATTTCATAATCGAAAGTTAAGACAAAGTTCACTTCTTACCCTTTCTTTGTTGTTGAGTAAACGTGCAAGGTAGGATACAGGTGAAAATCGGTAGGCGTTTATTCGAGGTGACATTTGGCGGAATTGGGAGCGTATGGAGGGACGGGAACGATGACGTGTCAGTTCTGCGTGCAATGGATGGTCAAGATTTGTGAGAATCCTCTCCGCGAATTTCACACAGGAAGTTGTATGATACTCTGAAAGCATCGAAGCCAGCTCATTCACAGGAAGATTCCCGCCGGAATATCAAAAGCCAAACAATATAGCGAACAAGCTTGTTTTCGTAACTTCGTCTTCAGGCATTTACAGTTCTGTGTGTATATATCTAATGTAGAAATAAATGTGATTGGTCCACTGAGGTTAAGTATGAAATTACAACAATGTCTGTCAAGTTTCATCAGAGCTACTGGATAGAATGGGGACAGTAGGCGAACGGGGGACCAAAGTCAGTTCTGGAATCTTCCGATGACCTTTTTCACGTGCAATGTGTCACGCCATGTTGCGTCATCAGGACATGACTGAGGTCGCGGTTCGGGTCATCACGTAGGTTTGGTCGGGGCGAAGGCAACTGGAGTGCAGCAACCATCATTCTCTGTTTGCACAGTGTTGGGTTCATGAGTTTGATTGCTACAGCTTCCGCCGTTGCCAAGTTACCTTTCCGAACGTGCTTCGATTTGTTTTGGGGTACTTTGTAAATGACTTTGAATGCATCGTTTTCTGGCTGATGCCCGGCATCCGACAGGTGGGCCAAAATCGCGCTAGTTTTTGTTTACTTGCAATCCGTTCTAAGCCAAGCCGGTTCATGTTCTCTGATCCTTTGGGAGAACTGCCTCACCGTTCGTCCTACATAAAGTGCCGAACATGTGCAAGTGAAGGAATACGTAATCATAGACGAGGAGAGGATGGACAGCTTATCCTTGTGGTTTGTGCAGAGCTGAAGCCGACTTGTAAACATCAAACGTAGAGTGGTGGCTAGATATGTTCGTGCAATAGCTTTCTTCTTAGTAGATCACCACTCGTATCACCCTTGAACGGAAGAAGCAAGAATAGTTCTTTCTTTTTAGCCGTGCTTGGTTTAGACAGGCATTCACAGGAATAGAAAAACGCGACCAATAATGGTTAGGCAGTGATCTAATACTTTGAAACCCTGTTTATTAAGCCAGGGAAAAAACAGGGGGACAATAAAGTAAGATGGAGAAAACACGCTGATACACAAAGGTAGGAATAACTTACTGGGACGCGCGAAACTGCCTGAACTATCGAATTTCAAATGACAAGAGCCGCAGTTTACCAATCCAGTTGTGGATATGGGTTGGCCAGAGAAGGTTGTTTATAGTTACACCAAGATATTTTACAGAGTTCAAACTAGATAAGGGATTGTTACTTATCACTGCGGGGTCTGCCGAATGTGAAGAGCGGGCAAAACTACATAAACACAGTACATTTACTGCAGTTAAAGATTAGCCTCAATAAGGAGGAGAATGATCGAATTTGACCAAGAGCGTCAGTGAAGAAGCTTAGATTGTAGGAATAAGAATTGGGTTGACACAGCACATCATCTACATATTTCAAATACGTGCAGGAGAACCACAAGGAATGTCACAGATTTACGTGGAAAATAAGTGTTGTCTTGTCAAGAAGTATGCTCGACATGAGCGCCTCTGGACTAGCACCCAACAATTAGGGAGAGAATGCGGCTGAGAAAACGACAGTCAGAGTATATTATTGATCATGAAGCAATATACAAATGAAGGTGTTAAATTGGGCGTACGAGAAACGACGTGATGACGTACCAATCAGGTTGCGATCTTGATACTCCGATTGGTCGATCGAACGACAGTTGTCTGATTCACCTTAGTCATCTAATCCGGAATCGATTCGGCTTGGGCTTCACGAATGCACTTGTGGTGTGACGCGAGTCGGTGCGTGGCCTGACGGATTCTGTGCGCTCCGTCCTAAAAAGAAGTGTGGGAATAAAACAGCTCCTAACAGAACTCCTGAGTTGTTGACTAAGGGTTAGATTAAGCTTTCCCCAAACTAGTGGTTTGTACTCTATCAGTAAAATAGTTGGGTAGCCAAGCTAACCATTGCTTGGAGTGTTCAAACGATTGCAGTGTTTGCAACAAACTCTAAAGGATCATTTGGAACGTTTCTAGACTGCTGAAGGCGTTTGAGGATAGCCTTCGCAGTCAAGTTAGGAGCTGAGGATGTTAAATCTATGAGACGAAAAGGTTTGGAGAGGATAAAACGTTTTGGATGATCTGGGGATTGATATGATATGTGATCGGCCTCAAACAGTCGGGGATAGTAAAAGTATAAACAGATTTATTCACAATGGAGGTGATTGCCCCATCTAGGGAAGCAGCACCAAAGTTGAAGAGTGCTGGAGGTGAATCATCCGGGCCTGCAGCAGAAGACGCATTGCAAATATTTAAAAGTTTTAACATATCACAATTTGAGATTGGTTCCACATTACAAACATTGTGAAGAGTAGACAAGAAGAATGTCCGATGACTGGAGCAGGAATGTGGCATTGAGATCATCAACATCAGCATCCAGCTTCGAACGTACTTTCTTCCTTCCGTAGAGAAGAAGTCTTATACCTTGCCACAGGTGTTTGCTGTTTCCAGTCCTCAGAATTCGACTGGAGAATAGAGCGTTTATTCTATTTACTTCAGTTTGATAAGCCTAGAAAAGTACCTGACAGCTGAAGCATTGTGAAACCTGTATGCACGTTTCTTCTGTCATCCCAGCGACTTTTGTAGGGGAGAGTTTACCTTTCCGCTGGACACATACAGGTTTTGAACAGGGCAACAGTAATTATAAATGGCTTTAATTGTTTGGGTGAATAGGGGGACACACGTGAATGAAGATGATGAAAACCATAAAGACGCCTACTTGAGAGGTTGATTGAGAAACAGAAGCACTT